TAGCGACATCCTCCTTTATGCCCAGTTAAGAACTATTAGGTGGCTATCTAAGTACTAACATGGGGATTTTTACTTTCGTCGTCCATACGACGTGCTATTGTATGGATGCCATTCGTTTGAATGGTAATGTATGGATCAATTGCCTCTACGCCCAGGTAATGACCAAAATAAAAGTTGTATGTATTCATGAGTTGAACAACTTTGGTATTCCTCGCTTTTTATGTTGAAATCAATTTGGGTCTCAAATTTTAATTCGAACTTGTCATTTTTCAAAATTTCAAATTTGAAAGGTTCAAATTTTGTCAAATGACAAGATGACTAAAATAAAACTTGTAGATATTAATTAGGTGAACAACTTTGGTATTCGTCACTTTTTATATTGAAATCATTTTGGGTCTCAAATTTTGGTTCGAACATGTTGTTTTTCAAAAATTCCAATTTGAAAGGTTCAAATTTTGTCAAATGACAAGATGACTAAAATAAAAGTTGTAGATATTAATGAGTTGAACAACTTTGGTATTCATCACTTTTTATGTTGAAATCATTTTGGGTCTCAAATTTTGGTTCGAACTTGTCATTTTTTAAAATTTCAAATTTGAAAGGTTCAAATTTTGTCAAATGACATGATGACCAAAATAAAAGTTATAGATCTTGATGAGCTGAACAACTGTATTCATCACTTTTGCATATGAAATCATTTAGGATTTGAAATTTTAGTTTGAACTTGTCAAATTTCAAATTTTAAAATGTGTAAAACATTGTCACATCTAAGTTTGATCAAACTTAAATGCTGAAGCATGATTTTAGAAATTTTTAGAAAAAAAACCATCACATTTGAAGTTAGTATGAGGGAGAACAACTAGTTACAAAATTTACCCACAGATTAAAAAGAGAAATCACACTGTTCTAGATGATCCTTACATGATCATAGTGAACAGTATGATTTCTTTTTTTAATCTGTGGGTCAACTTTGTAACTAGTTTTTCTTCCTCGTACTAACTCCAAATCTGATGATTTTTTTTCTCAAATTTTTTAAAATCATTCTCTATCAATTTATTTTGTTTGTTTTGTCAATATATACATATAAAAAGTTTGAACAATTTAAATTTTGAATTTCAAAAAAATACAACTTTCAGACAAGATTTTGGTACCCTAAATTATTTCAGCTGAAAAAATGATAAATACCAAAGTTGAATAACTCATCAAGATCTACAACTTTTGTATTGGTTATTTCTTAATAAGACAAAGTGGTAATGATATTGTTCACAAATGTGACACATCTCTCATAAGGTTTTATAATCTATATGAGACATGTGTAAGATTAGTGAACAATGTATGCTAAAAATTTGTCAAATGAAGAAATGAGCAAAATAAAAGTTGTAGATATTCATGAGTTGAACAACTTTGGTATTCATCACTTTTTATGTTCAAATCAATTTGAGTTTCAAATTTTGGCTCCAACTTGTCATTTTTCAAAATTTCAAATTTGAAAGGTTCAAATTTTGTCAAATGAAGAAATGACCAAAATAAAAGTTGTAGATATTCATGAGTTGAACAACTTTGGTATTCATCACTCTTTATGTTGAAATTAATTTGGGTCTTAAATTTTGGTTTGAATTTATTGTTTTTCAAAATTTCAAATTTGAAAGGTTCAAATTTTGTCAAATGATAAGATGACCAAAATAAAAGTTGTAGATAATAATGAGTTGAACAACTTTGGTATTCATCACTTTATATGTTGAAATCATTTTGGGTCTCAAATTTTGTTTCGAACTTGTCATTTTTTAAAATTTAAAAATTGAAAGTTTAAATTTTGTCAACAGACAAGATGACCAAAATAAAAGTTGTAGATCTTAATGACCTATACAGCTTTGATGTTTATCAAATTTTCATTTGAGATTATTTGGTATCTCAAAATTATTTTAGTAGTTTTGATTTTAATTTTTAAAATTTATTTATTTTTCTCATTTTTAAAGGTTCAATTTTGTAATTTTAAACTGTTGTAGTTGTTTTAGTTATTGTATATGTAAATATATCTATAAAAAATTATAAATTTTTGTACTGTATTATTTATTATTTACATGTGAATAATTCATTTTGATTTAGAATTTAAAAAAAAATCAACTGTAGGGGCGACTTATAACCTCAGCCGCCCCTACAGTGAAAATAAAAGGTTGAGGGTCATTCCCCTCCCCTCCTTCCACTGCGTCGGCCCCGGAGGCGAATAGGGGCGACTAGGGTTTCAGCCCCCGGTGACACGTCGCCGCTCGACTACACCAAACCATCAGCCGCCGCCTCCCTCACCCCACCTGACCATCGCGGTCGTGGCTGCCTGGCGCAACACACCACACCTAATCCCGGCCTGTGCGCTCCACTCCCACCCCATTAAAGCAGGTCGAGGCTGGGGCATGGCGCATGGAGGAGGCAGGCGGTAGCACCCCACCCTAGCCAAGCGCTTGCCGTCCCACCGTCGCCCCCCTCTGTCTTCCAGTCAGCTAGGGCCAGATCCGGCCAGAGCGCTGCGATTCTCACCGACAATTGTAGAGATTCAGGTAGTGGAGTATCTATTCTGGCCGGGGGCATGGCAGATCTGGCGGCGGCGTAACCCTGCTAATGCTCGTCCATGCGATGCGACTCGAGTCGTGGCGCCGTCGACCTTCCTCCTGACGTCGATGCGTCTCTCAGCGGTGAGGCAGGCCGCTGCTCATTCCAAAGCTGGCTGATGCCCTTTGCCCGCCTACCCTGGTCCATCTCACGCTAGCTGCTCCTTTCTGTTGGTTCCTCTGTAGGGCTATACGTTGATGTGCTTGGGCTCGAGGATTTTACACACGTTGCCTATCTCTGCACCTAGGTTACTTGTGGTGACGCCCTGCTTCAGGTTACTTTGTATAACGTCCCACCTCTCCGAGGCTAGGCCCGCTTACATCTGGTAGCTTTTCTAGGACATATACTGCCCTCACAGACCAACACCAGTCTTTTCTGCGCACTTTGTCCTCACTCATGCGCCCCCGGGAAGAACTTCCCGGTCGGTCACCCATCGCTCCAGGACAAGCATGCTTAACCTTGGAGTTCTTAAGAGATGGGCTTCCAGAAAAGAAGTTGCAACTTGTTGGTACGAGTATCCTATTAATCCTATTAAGCCCTGAGCCGGGGTGTTACACTTTGCTTTAGATTCGATAATATTAAAAACATGCTTTGTTCTGATGCAGAGCCAGACTGGCAGAGTGGCGCTACACTAGGTGACGGCAAGCACATGCACATCCGGACATATGTTGTAAAAAGGTATAGAAAACATGTGTAGTCCCTACATTCAGTTGCTATTTGCTATCCGATTTATTGAATACTTGAATTATATTGTGTTGGAAAAAGTGGGTGCAAAACGTTAGATTGCTCATCGGCCAATTATGCATAATTTACATTGCATTAGATAAACATGATGGAAATAATTCTTGGTCGCATGACCAATATTTCTCATATTGGATAAATTTCATTTTTGTTGCATCTCACAAATCTTGTGGAAATTTAAATATTTGTGATATCTGAGAATCGATGTGCATGTGTCTATAATAGTTTATAAATAAAAAGTAAATCTACTTCTAGTAGTACCTATATATTTTACTAATGTATTAAATATTTAACTGAGTCATAGCTCAAGCACTAGTTATGTAGTTTTGATCAGTTTTGATGTTACAAGCATTGCACAGCTTTGATGTTCTCGAAGCATTGCACACATATATGTGATTCTCGCATGTCACACTATCCTGCATGTTTACTTGTTTTTCAAGACATCGACTAGTTTGTTCCTTATGCACATGTCCATATGTGTTCTTGTGCTATTATAATAAGACTTAGAGAACGTGGACCTAGTATCTAAAGAAATTTGTTTAGTCGGATAACAATCCATTTTCTTGCTATTGCCAAGAGAATTGACAATTCTACTTATTCATGCTCATATGTGCGAGTGGAGGAAGCAAGCATGGCTTGAGCAAAGCAAAGATGGACATGGAGACCCCTGTTGAAAAATTGAGAATGGGTCAGTTCCTTTCTATTTGATTGTTGTTTTCTATTCGATCAATGTGAACCCGCACACTTAATCCTCTGTTTCGCCTTTTCAAGATACTTCATTATATTTGCTCAAACCTTAACTATTGATTCGATTTAGAATCATTGTATGACCGCGTGCTGTAATTATAAACTGCTACTACTACACAACTAGTAAACTATAAGTCTATAAGCATTCTTTGCTTACAGTCTTGATTCAAATAATTTACAAATGTGCCTGTAATAATTTATAAATCAACTCTTCAAGTATACGTGACAAGTGATTGCGATTCGTAATCTTTACCGTCTGTTTGTACAAATGTGCATGTAATAATTTACATGTGGCAAAGACTAGAAACCATTTAACTTGTTGATTACTAGGTAATCATGTTCTTTACTAAAAAACTAGAGTGCTCTAATACAATTTCACGATCATCAAGACATCTCAAACAATGAGCCTTAAAGCTTTTAATTGCATCTAGTGAACCTCTCCAAACTGTTGTACTGAATAAGACACTGTTAGCCAATTATAAACCTTGAACTGCCCTTCTTTATTCACTTTACACAAGTCAGGTTTGCCTTGAACTGGCCTTCTTTGTTCAAAAAATGTCTTAATTGAGTAGGTTTGCATTAGTACTCAATTATTATAGTGCCAACAACTATTCATTAATTGGATACTATGTCTTGTTTCAAACATTTTGTATTATATCTTTTGCTCAAAACTAGTCATAATCCAATATAGCTAGACATACTTGCTAAATAATAATCCTATGTTGTTGACTTCTACTTGTATTCTGTTACCTGACAACAAATAAATGACTCGTGATTATATACCTATTTGGCATCAGTTTCTGTCAATGCAGCATAGGTTTTTATTTTTTAAAATACATCTTGTGTGATATTTCCTCCTCAAATTAATGCAAGAAGTATCAACTAATGATAGGTCATTGCTGTTTCAGTCAAATGTGGAAGCTTTGAGGATAAAACCTGTTGCTGAAGGTGAGACAGCAGTGTCCAGTGTGCAGGTTGTGTCCCAGGTGCTCTCCCAGAATAGCTCAAACCTTTTCCTAAAGAGTGTTTGCATCAAACCAGTGCCATCCTCCAAATCATCATCATCAAATGAAAGCGAGCTTCGGGAGCAACTAGCAGCTGAAGCTACGGCTGCTGTACAAGGTGAAATCGATGAACTCAGGAAGAGAAGTGAAGAAGCTGAGAAAAAACTGGCGAGGACACAAAAGGAGATGGAGGAGTACAAGAAGCTGATAGAGATAAGCAACAAGGCAATGGAGGAGAACAATGCGCTGCTCAAGCGTATCTTGGCCATCAACAATGCTTCTTCGACATGAGCGCCGCTCGTAGTCAGCCGTTCATTAAGCAAGGGGTCTGCTGGTGATTTTGTTTATGTAGTAACTTATGTTGCTTTGGTGGTTGGCAACCTTTTATTATTTCCTGTGATGTTAATGTGAACTGAGATGAAACTAGTAGTTCAAATGTGATGTCTAGTGAGTTATGTGAACCGAGTTTAGAATTGTTGATTAAGTTGTTGGTCATTGGAATCTGGATCTGTTAATTTATGGAAGCTTTTGGTCATTCCAAATTATTTGCATTCTGTAATGAAATCAAGCATGTGCACTTGTGATGAATTATCGACCTTTCTATGACGATTTGGTAATTGATTCTGTGACGAATTTCTATTTACTTGATGGCGAAAATGAGAACCTATCACAAAGAAGCCTTATGGCCCAATAAAAATTGGACACATGGACCATCCACATCATTGGCCACGTCGGTACCGCCACGTGGTCGGACACGTCCACCTGCAATGTGGACGCACCATGTGGACAAGACACGTCACCGCCAACAGCGGGCGACGTCGTCTGCCGCCTAACGAATGACAAGTCATGACGAAAAAGGGGCTATATCAATGACGAAAATAGATCGTCATAGAAAGAATACACTTCTATGACGATGGCCATTTCATCATAGAACAAATGCACATCTATGACGAAAATAGACGTTTCGTCACGGTAGGTAAAATATGACGCGCATTCAATGACGAATACCATATCGTCATAAAATAATATATGTGACGATTTTGGAGTCTTCAGTGACGAAAGAAGAGCATCATTGATGTACACATCCCTAGTAGTGCTTATAACCTGTTTTGATGTATATAACGGATCATCATGTTAATGTTTAACTTGTCATTAAATGATTTTATCTTCGCTGAAACTCTGATAACATGGTTATATTCCGCTGTTATAAACAATAAATATTATACTCTAATGTTGCATTGAAAGTGATGTAAGAAATGGCTAAAATGTTGTAAGCTTTATTCCCTCCATTTATGATCCTGTTGAAAAATATGAATTTTCGGGTTCTCCCTCGGGGTGTGCTCGATAGAACTGCCTGATGTATCTCACCTTTGGGGTGCTTAGTGTCTAGTGGAAGACAAGCGCATCCGTAAATGAGTTATTTCAGACGGTTCTGCCATAGCGCCCGCATCTACGGTGCCCTCGGTGGTGTGCAGGGGAGGGGAAGGGGAGGGGGAGGAGGAGGAGGAGGAGGTGGTGGGGGGCGGCGGCGGCGGCGGAGAGGCCGTCAGGGTGCTAGGGTGGGCGGGGAGGGGTAACGGTTGCCTCCTCAGCTCCCGTTCCCCATCATACTTGTGAGCCCCCTCTAGCAGGACCTATCCATCTAAGCTAATTGAGTCAACACTTGCTTCTTGCAGCAGAAGGTGATGACTGATGATCAACTTGAACGTGCGCTCCTTCGAGGACTACTCGTGCCCGCTGCTGGATGCGGTCGCCGTGGCCCCAGACAGCGACAGGCTGGTCCTCACCGGCCACAGCCACGGCGGCCTCAGCCTCACGCTCGCCATGGAGAGGTTCCCGCGCAAGATGGCCAACGCCGTGTTCGTGGCTGCCGCGCTGCCGTGCATCGGCAAGCACATGGGCATCACCACCGAGGAGGTAAGTACACACGCATGTGCACCAAACGTTGTCCAAACTGGCACGTCACAACAAGTCAACAACTCGCAAGTATTTATATATATGTCAAATTTGATTTTTTCTTCTTCTTTTGTGATGGATGCACTGCAGTTCATGAGAAAGAACTGCTTCTAAAGGGCTGCTCATGGACTGCCAAGTGGTGCCCATCATCGGCACCGGCACCGGCATCGGCACCGGCAGTGAAGCTGCCGGCGGGAAGAAAGGGGTAGCGATCGTGATGGGTCCAAGGTTCTGTTATGGACTCAGATGAACCTTAACATTCAGAGTAGCGATAACAGAGTTCTTAGGCGAGTAGCAGAGGACTGGAATGGAGGAAGGAGAGCAAAGCAAGGGAAATAGTCCAGACGAGAGCTTGCAGGAGGCAAGTTGTTCGATACACCTTTTTTCTGATACCCCTCTCTCCTCTCCTATTACATATATATCAGATCCATTTCCCAGATCACCGTTTCACGCCGTTGCCCACTCGTCCCCGCTGATGCGCGTGCTCGGCGCCTTTGCTCTGCTGGAGCGCCTCAGGTGTGGCCTAGGTCCCTGTGCTGCTGCCTCCTCTTCCGAAGCTAGCCCAGGCCCATGTGCTACTGCTAACTTGCATGGGTCCGCATCATGGGCCATGACATCCTCCCCCCTTGCGCGCCAAGCCAGCTCCAGACGGCGGCGTGAGGAAACTGCTGCCGGAGATGGTCCAAATTCTCCCAAGTAGCTAGCGAAACTGGCAAATGAGACCACTTGATCAGTCCTTGAGAGATGGAATGCGTACCTTTGAGCACCGACCGGATTTGCAAGATCCGTTCAGGAATACTCCAAATCACATCAGTTGAAGGTGGGTGAGCTGTGACAGTGTGCTGTGCACCAACAGACTTCTTCAACTGTGACACATGAAAAACTGGATGCACAGACGAGGAGGCCGACAACTCCAACTGATATGCCATGGTCCCCACCCTTGCAACCACCCGGTATGGCCCAAAGTATTTGAAGGCCAACTTCTGATTGGCACGCTGACCCAATGAAGACTGAATATACGGTTGAAGCTTCACAAACACCCAATCATTTACCTCAAAGTGGCGCTCAGAACGATGTTGATCGGCATACTTCTTCATGCGTTGCTTGGCACGGTTAAGATGCTGCCGAATGACATCAAGCATAAGATCTCTGTCAGCCACCCAGGTGGCCAAATCTGCCACTGGAACCTCCGAGCTTGCAGCAAGACCAAAGTGCCGAGGGACATAACCATACAACACTTCGAATGGAGAGCGGCTGAGAGCAGAATGCCAATTTGTATTATACCAAAACTCCGCTTGGTCCAGCCACTGCCGCCAAGTGCGAGGATAGGCGTGAGTGAAACAACGAAGAAATGTTTCCAGACACTGATTCACCCGCTCAGTCTGACCATCGGACTGGGGGTGGTACGCTGTACTCATGCGCAACTCAACACCAGCCAACTTGAATAACTCACGCCAAAAGTTGCTAGTAAAGATCTTATCCCGATCTGAGATGATGGCTTGTGGAAGACCATGTAGTTTATACACTTGCGAGAGAAATAGCTGAGCAATAGATGCAGCAGTAAATGGATGCTTGAGGGCTAGGAAATGAGAGTACTTGGAGAACAAATCAACCACCACTAAGATGCAGTTGAAGCCGCTAGAAGAAGGAAGTCCTTCGATAAAGTCCATAGAGATGACTGACCAAGCCCCCTCAGGAACCGGAAGAGGTTGTAACAGACCTGGAAGTTTGGCTCGGTCTGGTTTGGCCTGTTGACAGACAGTGCAAGCCACCACAAAAGCCTGGATAGCTGATTTCATTCCTTGCCAAGAAAAGAGTTGCTTGAGACGATGATAAGTAACAGTGACACCGGAATGACCCCCAATCGCTGTGGAATGCACTGCTGCCATCAACTTAGCTTGCAGATCCTTATGGTGACCCACCCAAACTCGATTGTGATAACGGAGTAACCCATCCCTCAAAGTGAAACCCAGCACTCCATCAGGTGTAATGGAGAGCTTAGTAAGGAGTTCTTGAGCATGGGCATCCTGTGCATATGAGGAAAGCACGTCCACCAGCCACTGCGGTTGACATACTAAAACTGCAGCCAACTGACCAAAGGAAACACGAGACAAGGCGTCGGCCACTCCATTGTCAACACCTTTGCGATATACAATCTTGTACTGAAGGCCAACCAATTTAGCAAACACCTTCTGTTGCCAAGGAGTATGCAAGCGCTGCTCGGTGAGTTGCACAAGACTGCGATGATCAGTAAGTATCTGGAACTCCGCATGTTGAAGGTAACTATGCCACTGCTCCAAGGCCATCAGAATGGCCATATATTCCTTTTCATAAGTGGACAACCCCCGTGAACGAGGCCCCAAAGCTCTGCTCAAATAGGCCAATGGATGACCTCCCTGCATCAGGACTACTCCAATACCAGTACCACTTGCATCAGTTTCCACAGAAAATGGCTTACTAAAGTCCGGAAGGGCCAGCACGGGAGCTGAGGTAAGTGCCTGTTTGAGAGCCAAAAAGGCTTGCTGCTGCAACTTGCTCCAGATAAAAATGGCTCCCTTGTGTAACAGCTCAGTCAAAGGACGCGACATAATGCCCAAATTACGGACAAAACACCAGTAATACCCCGTAAGACCCAAAAAACTGTGCAGCTCCTTCACTGACTGGGGAGACGACCACTGGAGCACTGCTTGAATCTTCTCTGGGTCAGTGGCAACACCATCAGCCGAAATGATATGACCAAGATAACGTAACTAGCGCTGAGCAAAGCGACATTTGGAGCTCTTGACCTGCCACTGATCATGTTGTAATAATTCAAGCACCTGATGAATGTGCTGCAGATGTTCTTCATAAGTACGGCTGAAAATGAGGATATCATCAAAGAACACCAACACGCACTTGAGCAAGAGGTACCGAAGAGTGGTGTTCATTGCTTTCAGGAAAGTAGCTGGAGCTCCAGTGAGACCGAAGGCCATAACTCAAAATTCGTAATGGCCCGAATGAGTTTGAAAGGCCATCTTAAATTCCTCACCAGTTTTCAAATGGATCTAGTGGTATCCAGCAGTGAGATCCAGACAAGAAAACCAAGAAGCATTCGTCAACTCATCCAGTAGCTCCTCAATAACAGGGACCGGGTACTTAGCTTTGACAGTCAGGGAATTCAACTATCGAAAATCAACGCAAAAGCGGAAGGTACCATCCTTTTTCTTGACTAGCAATACTGAGGAAGAAAAGGGACTGTTACTGTGTTGAATGGTTCCGGACTGTAGCATCTCTGAAATCTGTCGCTCGATCTCATCCTTGACAGCTGGAGGGTAGCGATACGGACGGACCGAGAATGGACTGGCTCCCGGTAGCAGAGGAATGGTATGATCACAATCATGGGCTAGAGGATAACCTGAAGGAGGAGCAAAGACTGACTGAAATTCAGCTAAGAGTGCCGAGACCTCCGGTGGTACTGCTCCCTGATCAGCAACTGAATCATCTGATAACACTACGGACACCTGCACCACCAAACCTGGCGGTAGAGCTGAAAGAGAACCCTGCAAGAAGCACTGCTGTTGACCTTGTGTAATACGGAGCCACTTGTGTTGCCAATCAATGTGCATCGGACTATAAGAAGCCAACCAATCCATGCCCACAATGAGGTCAAAGGAAGACAACGGCAACACCTTAGCTTGAGAGACAAAATCGTGAGACTAAACAGTCCAAATGAGATTCTCAAATTGATTGGAACAAAGCAACTGGGATCCATCAGCCACCATGACCTTGAGTGGAGGTGACAACACCGACTGACCTTGCAACTTAACAGCTAGAGCAGCACTGACAAAAGTGTGTGTACTGCCAGAATCAATGAGGATGCGAGCTGAATGACCCTGAATGTGCCCCATAAACTGAATAGATGTGACAGAAGGTGGACCTCCCGATGCAGCCATCGATATCGCCAGACACACTTGAGCTTCCACAGCTTCAGCTTCCAAGCAGGCATCATAACCATCCTCCCGACAGTCCCTAGAGAAACAGACCTCCCACAACTCTTGCAATGCATGCAATTGAATTGCTTCCGGGCAGCGATGATCACGGGCCCATTTCTCACCACACCGGAAACAGAGACCACGAGCGCGCCGATAATCACGCAACGTGGAGAGCTTGTCATCCATACCACGAGCACGACGCTCTGGAGGCTGATGTGGTGGCCCGGCCTTATCTTGACGGTCCTGACGCGGCGGCGGATTCAGCAGCGGTAGAGGTGGACCACGCACCGGAGCCTTTGCAAAGGTAAATGGTTCAGGGCACCGAAGCTCCTTCGTACGCATAGGATCCACCAATTCCTCCTGCAACAGAGCAAGGACACAGGCAGTATCCAAATCCTAGGGACGTTGCATATGAACAGCAGCACGAATGTCGGCACGCAATCCATCAACAAAACGCATAGCATAGTAAATTGGATCGATATTACGGCCATAAGCAAGTAACTGATCTACCAACCCAGTAAATTTGTCAATATAGTCTTGGACTGTGGTTGACTGGTGGATGTGAAAAAGCTGACGAACTAGCAGTTCATGCTGATCTTTACCAAAGCGGTGCATGACCAGCTCCTGAAACTGCTCCTAGCCTCCCGAACGAACCTGCTCCCCACCGCTTGCAACCAACACGCCGCAGCGCCAGACAGGTGCTTGGTGGCCACCTTGACCCAGCGGCGGCGTGGAACCAAGTACATCTCAAAATAATCTAAGCAACGCCTGAGCCACAACTTTGGGTTGGAACCATCAAATGGAGGAAAATTGATTTTAGGTAGATGAAAATTGCCCCTATCCCCATCCTCATGACCATGATGACCCAGAGACCCATGGACCCCTCCCGAACCGCCTTGAGTGCCAGCAACGAGAGCCGAACTCGAATAGGATCGATACAGCTTGGGTTTGGAATCAGGATCAGCCGGTATGAACGTACCCTTGACCAGGGATTGAGCATAAGACTCGACTCCCCGGTGGCTTGATTCCTCGCGGGGCCCTAACGGGCGGAAGTGAGTCCAACCAGCGGGAATCCACGTCGGAGACTCCTTGGGACGCTGCAGCACGCCAGTCGGCGTGGCCTGCGTGGCGTCGAGGACGGAGCGGCTCACCGACTTGCGCAGTGCAGTCATCTCCTCCCGCAGCAGCTCCACCCTCTCCTCCGTCTTCCTGAAGGCGCCAATCTCCGCGCGCAGTTCCGCCACAGAGGCGTCCATCGTCGGCTTCCAGGCGTCGAGCACCTTCGCGGCGTCCTCTAGGGAACCGACGCGGGCACCGATGGAGTGCTCGACCGCATCGATGCGATTTGTGAGGTTGGTTTGGACAGACTTGAGCTCATCGAGAATGAGTTTGGTGTTGAGATCCATGGCACCTAGCTGCTTGCGGAATCGGGTGAAATGGTCATGGACGATTTGGTGGGGCTCCAGGGTGAATCGATTCTCGACGATTGACTCCTACACCGATCAGATCAGCCTCGGCACGGACCTACGGGTTCATCACTCGTTGCCGCAGCACCGAGGACGATCAACCAGCCGTCGGGGGTTACGATCCCAGATCAAGGCGGAGGAAAACAAAAATCGGCTGAGAATCGAGGGCTCTGAGTACCAATTTGTTACGGACTCAGATGAACCTTAACATTCAGAGTAGCGATAACAGAGTTCTTAGGCGAGTAGCAGAGGACTGGAATGGAGGAAGGAGAGCAAAGCAAGGGAAATAGTCCAGACGAGAGCTTGCAGGAGGCAAGTTGTTCGATACACCTTTTTTCTGATACCCTCTTTATTTTATATTATATATGATTATGAATAAATAAAATGCCTTTGATTATTTCGAATTACATGTTACAGCCAATTTCTCAGTTTACCCGCCGTCAGAGGTTTTTCAGGTTAATTAACGTGATGCTAATTATTCGGTAATAACCCAACGACGACGACACGACGAGTATAATGAACGGACAGGACGAAACGTGCAGCGTACCTAACCCTGATTATCGTCACCCTGTTCGTTTACGCTGAAATTTAGTTTAGTCTGATGCTTATATTCATTTATTGTGAGAAAAAAAAAACTGTTCGTTGGCGGAAAAGTAGTTCAAGCGAACAGGGTGCATATGGATTTGTTAAACGGCAGTGCCCGAATGTCCGGCAGACATCCGTGTCCGGACACCTGCGCCTGCAGTCCGTTTTTGTGCCCCAGTTTCTCGCATCCATGAGAGGGCCTGCGCTGTCCGAACATTGCCCATCCGCACCTGCATTTAGCGTGCCCAAGCGGAGGCCCACGCTTTCCGCGCGGGGACTGCTCGTGCCCCCTCCCTCGCTTCCCACGCGTATCATATGTGCAACACCCGATATATTTTTAAAATATCTAGATGCAATATTTGCAACATAAAAAAAGACAGACGGATGAAACACTTGTAAAAATACCCGAAACACTTGAAAATCATTGCAAAATATATACAATATCTAGATAAAACACTTGCAACATATATGTAAAACATACGCAACATCCAAATAAATACACTTGCTACATACGTGTACAACAATTGCAACATATGCAGCATCCCGATCTAAACACTTGCAACATACCTCTGAAACATCTAAGACACTGGAACATACATTTGCAACGTGTGCTTTCAACGCAACATCTTATTGCTGCTTGGGAGAATGGGGGCTCGTCGGCATGTGGAGTTCACCGGAGGCAGCGGCTTGGCCGCGCTTATAGGTGGTCCCCGGCGGCGGTGGTGGTGCTTGTAGGCGGCTGCACGACGGGGCAAGGAGGCAGCGCCAACACGACTGGGATAGGGAGCCAGATCCGCCGAGGAGCCACTCGTGCCGAGCCTGCGTGCTGGTCCGCCCGTGACCGAGGCCGTTGCGCCGCCGTGTCGAGGGCCGCTTGGGCCTCCGTGTCGTGGCCCACTCCTGCTAAGGCCACACCGTCGTATCGGAACGCTCGCCCGCAGCGCACCGAGAGAGAAGGTAGAGTGTAGCGCCGGAGACACGCGAGAGAGAAAGCGAAAGCACGAGAGAAGTGGTCGCTGATATTTTTCAAGGCGCGGACGAACTAGTGAACGACAACGCTTGCTGACGGTACATGCACAGGTACTGGCGCGGGCGGGTCGGTGTCGGTCCTCATCCTATCATTATTGTTTGTTAAATGAAACTGCTACGGATTAAGGCTCCATGTGTATGGCAAGAGATTCCTGTAATAATGATGGGGAAAAAAGGGAAGACGGCACCACCACCTCTTGCTGGTGTTCTCCTCGCCGAGCTGCGTTGACTTCTTCGATCGCTCGCCCGGCCATCATTGCATGAGTTCATCAGGGACGACGACGATGGAGGAGGAGAGCGGCAGGGGGCCACCGCAGCACCACTTCGTGCTGGTGCACGGCGTCTGCCACGGCGCGTGGTGCTGGTACAGGGTGACCACCCTCCTCACCTCCGCGGGCCACCGCGTCACGGCGCTGGACATGGCGGGGTGCGGCGCCAGCCCCGTGTGCGGCGATGATGTGGCGTCCTTCGAGGACTACAGCCGGCCGCTCCTGGACACGGTGGCCGCGCTGCCGCCTGGGGAGCAAGCGGTCCTCGTCGGACACAGCTTCGGCGGCCAGAGCCTCGCGCTGGCCATGGAGAGGTACCCTGACAGAGTCGCCGTCGCCGTGTTCGTCTCCGCCGCCATGCCCGCCGCCGGCAAGCCTATGGCGCTCGTCTTGGAAGAGGTACACCTCCGATCCGCGGGCTCTGCCTATGGTCACATAACATTGCGGCGTGCTCCAAAAAGCTAAAAATCGGCATTGAGAACGGTTTCATTGATCTTGCTCTTTCTTTACTTTTCACTCTTTGATTGAAAGAATAACACATTGCTCTAGCCGATTAACCATTATTGCAATTGCGTATATTACTGTATCTGTATGTACTACCAGTTTTCCAAAGAAACGGGGCCAGATTTCTACATGGACTGCACATACAGCGCCAGCAGCAATCCTGAGTATCCGGTGGAGACACTTCTGCCAGGGCCAGAGTACTTAGCCAAGAGATTGTACCAGCTCAGCCCTCCTGAGGTAGGCGCTGACAAACAATGGCGACACGACACTGGTCTCCTCCTTCCTGCTTCCCTGGCCTGACGGTGCAAGTGCAATGCATCAGGATCTGACCTTGGCAAAGGCGATGGTGAGGCCATCCCGATCGTTCCAGGACGACGGGATGCTGCAGAGGAACAACGTGCTGACGGCAGACAGGTACGGCGCCGTGAGGCGGGTGTGCGTCGTCGCCGAGGACGACGCGTCGTGGTCGGCGGAGTTCCAGCGTCGCGTGGCCTCGTGGAGCCCCGGCACCGAGGTGAGGGGCCTGCAGGGAGCTGATCATATGGTCATGCTCTCCAAGCCAACGGACCTCTCGGACCTACTTGTTGAGATAGCCAACATGTAGAGTTGAGAGGCATATTATTCACTTCTGCTTTGAACCCTGCCTGATCATAGTATCAGGGACTTATTGTTGCTGAATCGGTGATCGGAGAGATGTACAAATCTTGCATGCATAAGATGTACAAATCTGAACATTGTCATTGCTAGATTGATCTCCTAACCCGGCTTATTGGGCCTTGGTCACGCGTCCTGATCGGGGGCGCCCAACCCTACATGGTTGGTGGGCCCCCGTCGCACTGCGCTATATAAAGAGGTGGGGGCCGGTGGCTCAAAACACGAGGTTCGCCGTGAGCCGCAAACCCCACCGACAAAACCCTAGACCGATCTAAGAGGGTGCGCAGCCAGCGACGGGAAGCTCCGCTGATCCTTGCCGTCATCACTGCTACGCCCCGACCGCACTGCATCGACGTCCGCGCAACCTCTACTCCACCCGTCGCTGCTCGTGTGCTGCCTCCATCACCGAACCAGCGATGGCCAGCACAACTGCGACTTCATCTGAAGGCTCAGGTTCATCACCAGCCCCTCTCTACCCTAACTCCCTCTCGGTGTAGTGTTCTAGGTCTAAATGTGCATGTGCTTCACTGGTCTAAGTATTCATCCGTCTAGATCTACCCTAGTCGATCCACAATTTTTAACAATGGTACCAGAGCCACGGTTTAGGTATAGATATGGCTAGGGTTTTGATCTAGAAAGTAGAAAGGGCTTCGACCGACAAAGGGTTCGGTTGAACCCTAAACTCGGTCCTTTCGGATCTGAGAAAACATGATGGTTCGGGAAAAGTGAAGAACCGAACATCCAAACCCTAGGTCGGGTTTTTGGGATAGAGATGAAAACTGGAAACCGAATTAAACCCGAAGGTGATTCGGGGAAAAAGAATAACAGTGCCGTCCCTAACCCTAACCCTAACCCTAATCGGGAAATCGTGCAAAATCCGAACAAACGAATCAAAGAAACCGAAAGGGGAAGAGGGGAAGGGAGTGGCTTACCTCGCCGTCGTGCACGCCACCACGCGGGGAAAAGAAAGGGCCGGCCGGGGGTGAACTTTCGCGGAACAGGCCACAGGCGCCAGCCAGGCAGTGCGGCCTTCGGCTCGCGGCGCGCGCTCACCATTGAGAGGGAGCGCGCACGCCGGCGAGGGGGCCGGAGACGGCGCCGGGGCTCGCTGCTCGCTCTCGCCGTCGAAGCTCCTCGCTCGGTGACTGCTGCGGCGGGACTGAGTGGAGAGGAGAGGGCAGTGAGGCGAAGAGAGAGAGAGAGAGAGCGAAGGCCGAATGGCGCTAGGGTTCAAGGGCGCCACGGCGGTCGTCGGGTTTTGATCCTGCGATGCGCGCGGGCAGCCGTCGGATGGAGACGGACGGCCACGAGCGAGTGGACGAAGTCGCGGCCCAGGCGGGATAGGGCGCGATGCGAAATCCGCCCGAGCCCGAGTTGCGGCTTTGGCGAGGCTATGGCAGCAGCCGATGGTGGCCAGCAGGCGGGATTGAACCGGGAGAAGCGGCGGCCTTGGCCTGGGCAGCAGGTAGTACCGGGCAAGTCTTGTTGGCAAGCGCTTGTGTGAACGAACCATGGGCCGTTTATTGGGCAGCATAAACGATTCTTTGGATCGGGCCGAAATGGCCAAATAAATAGTAAAGTCACAGTTTTTGATTTTCTTATTTTCCAGAAAACAGTTTGATCAATTTGAATTGAATTTTGTGATAATTTTCTGTACAAAATTCATCCAACGATAATTTTGTTCAGTAAATAGTAAAGTTGCTTCTGGAAAATAGGAAAATGATCATTGAATGTTAATGTTTCATTGCGTATTTAAAGTAATTATGGACTTTTAATTAAATTCAACCAACGGGAGAATTTGATTTTAAACCAAGAGATAAATATAAGTTGATTATGATATTGTTATTTTTCGACCAACGTTGTTAATATCAATATTATAATTTTAATGATTATGCATTATTTCTATTTACGCTTAACGGTGATGTAGATTTAATGTATAAAATAATTGTATGTTTAATTTTGACCAACGTTAAACTAAGGCATGCAATTATTGTTGTTATTTCTGTTCTCACACTATTTGAATTGTGTTTTCAGGAGGATACAACTTAATGAGTTGTATCAAAGAGATCCCCACTCTAAAAGGTGATAACTATAATGAGTGAAAGAAAAAGATAGACTGGCCTTCATCCTCATTTGAGGTGGACTGGTTGTCACCACACCGTGCCCCGAGAAACTGTGGTACCGGTGAGGGAGACTGATGAGACTGATGTTGCATGGCAGAATAGAGAGCGGGATTTTGCTCCCGTAAAGATGTCCTATGACCTTGAGCATAGGAAATGAGTCACTGCCAACAAGAAGTGTTTGGCAGTGATAAAGAACACAATTGAGCCTGCTATTGTGGGCTCAATTCCAGCTGTGACTGACACAATCCACAGTACCTAGATAGAATAAAGAGTCAGATTCACTTTGGCTCTTCAAAGATATATGCAAACCCAAATGATCAAGCATTTGATTCTGAAAAAAATGGTACTACTGTGGCGGCGGCGGCATTAGAGAGCACATCTTGAGAATGAGCAATCGGCATCTAAGCTCAAACCAATGGATTTGGCACTCAAGGATGAGTTTCTTATTCATTTGATTTTTGCTTCTTTGCCCAAAGAATTTGACACCTTTGTTGTTAATTACAACATACAGCCTGAAAAATGGGATTTAGAAAAGCTCATAGCCATGTGTGTGCGGGAGGAGGAAAGAATAAAAGTTTCACAAGGTGGTTACATCAACTACCTAAAAGATAAGAAAAAGAACTATTATAACAGACTCTTCCTCCAAGTCATCCGGAAAAGGTCCCATGCAACAGTCTCAGAATCAGCAATTCCCAGTGGCTAAAGACCAGTGTCTCCACTGCAAGAAGACGGGACATTATAAAAAGAACTGTCCCGATTTCCTAAAGATGATAATGAAGAATAAAGGTGAGAACATTATTACATTCGTAAATGAATCCTTGTATGTAAAGTTTTCAAAATCTACTTGGTGGATTGATTCAGGTGCAACTATTCATGTTGCTAATTCATTCTGAGGATTTAGATTCGATGAGAACTTTGCAAAAGAAGCGAAAGTTTCATTAAAGTCGCAAATGGAGTACAAGCAGAAGTTGAGGCCGTTGGAGATCTTCCTCTAGAGCTTCCAGATGGCTTTATACTTTTTCTTAGAGATGTTCTTTATGTACCTTCTTTGCAAAGAAACCTGATTAGTGTATCAAAGTTGGACCATGATGGTTATGATTGCCATTTTGGAAATGGCAAATGTCAGATATTGTTTAATAATAAATGTGTTGGTCTTGCCTTCCGACAAGACGAGCTTTATTTGTTATCGCTTCGTGAAAATGTGAATTCCGTATGTGATGTGAATGAAAATGTATCCTCATCGAACAATGGAAACAGAAAACGAAAGAGAGCTCACGATGCGTTGTCGAAATTATGGCACCAATCGTCGTTTAGGCCATATTTCGAGGGGAGAATAGAAAGACTAGTTAAGAATAATATTCTTCCTTCATTAGAGCTCTCGAGTTAGAACAATGTAGAGATTGCATAAAAGGAAAGTATGTAAAGAAAATTAAGAAAGATGCCAAACGAAGCGCGAGAATTCTGATGATTTTCACACACAGACATATGTGGTCCTTTTCACCGTAAAAAGTGTGGATGGTTATGATTTATTCATAACATTCACGAGACGATTACTCTCGATTTGGCTATATTTATCCAATTAAAGAAAGAAACGAAGCGTTGGATAAATTCAAAATATTTAAAGCGAAGTTGAAAATCAGCATGATTTAAAGATTAAGATAGTCGTCCGACCGTGGAGGAGAGTACTACGGTTGGCATACCCCATATGGACAAGTTCTGGACCCTTTGCAAGGTTCTTACAGAGAATGGTATAGTCGCCCGATATTCAACACCCAAGCGAACCTCGTGAGAATGGAGTAGGCGAAAGGCGTAACCGCGTGCCACGATGGATATGGTGCGTAGTATGATAAGTTACTCCACTTTACCGATGAGTCTATGGATGGAGGCGTTAAAAACCGCCATTCATATTCTCAATAGAGTACCAAGTAAGTCGGTGCCCAAAACACCGTATGAGTTGTGGACAGGAAGAGTACCCTCACTTAACCACTTGCGTGTGTGGGGGAGCCCTTCTGAGGCTAAAGTTTTTAACCCAAACATTGGGAAGCTAGATCCCAAAACAGTGAGTTGCCATTTCATTGGCTACCTAGAAAAGTCAAAAGGTTTTCGTTTCTCTTGTCCCTATGAGACATACAAAGTTTGTGGAAACGAGACACTTTGTCTTCCTAGAGGATGAAATGATTAGGGGAGCATGGTAGCTTGAGAAATTGACCTTGAAGAGAAGCGGTGTATGCACCCACTCCGATCATTCATGAGCCATTTTTCTCACTACTGCTGTTGTTCTTTGCACCAACAAGACAAGACAACTGTGGTGCCAAAGACTGTTATTATCCCTTTGTGGCAACAATGAATGATGATGAGGAACACGTGCCTCGGGATCCTATAGAACCTATTGCCACACATGAGGGGGAGCAACAACAGACCTCAAACAGAAAATGTGCCAATTGAGGAGGCCCCTAGAAGGTCTCAAAGAGTTAGAAAATCAGCTATTCCTGCTTTGATTATGAAGTGTACAACATCAAGAATTTCAAATGGGGATGATCCCACCTCATTTGAAGAAGCCATGAAAAGTGATCATTCATCAAAGTGGCTTGAGGCCATGGAAGATGAGATGAGATCAATGAATGCAAATAAAGTTTGGGATTTGGAGATAATTCCTAAAGGATCCAAAACAAGTGAAATTCATCGTAAATGGGTCTACAAAACAAAACTTGACTCTCAAGGGAATATAGAAAGATATAAAGCCCGACTTGTGGCAAAAGGCTTTACACAAAGAGAAGGGATTGATTACAATGAGACTTTTTCTCCGGTCTCGTGTAAGGATTCCTTCGAATCATAATGGCATTAGTGGCACATTACGATTTGGAATTACATCGGATGGATGTAAAGACGGCATTTCTCAACGGAGACTTAGAGGAAAATGTTTACATGGCACAACCGAAAGGTTTTGTCATGGAGGGAAAAAAACGTTTGGGATGCCGCCTAAAGAAATCTATTTATGGATTAAAACAAGCTTCAAGACAATGGTACTTGAAGTTTGATCGAATAATAAAGAATTTTGGGTTTAAAGATAATGTTGAGGACAATTGTGTCTCACGCAAAGTTTAAGAATGGGAAGTTTATCTTCCTTGTCCTGTATATGTGGATGATATCTTACTTGCAAGTAGTGATGTCAGTCTACTCTTGAAACAAAGAAGTTTTTGTCCTCAAAATTTGATATGAAAGATCTTGGTGAAGCTTCGTTCGTTCTAGGGATCGAGATTCACCGAGATAGAAGTAAAGGGGTATTAGGACTGTCACAAAAGGCATACATAGAAAAAGTCTTAAAGAAATTCAGTATGCACAAATGTAGTCCCTCACCTGCTCCTATAGTCAAGGGCGACAGATATGGGGATTTTCAATGCCCCAGGAACCAATATGAGATCGATCAAATGAAAGTGGTTCCATATGCTTCAGCTGTCGGAAGCTTGCAATATGCTCAAGTGTGTACACGCCCTGATTTGGCATTTGTTACCGGGTTACTTGGCAGATTCCAGAGCAATCCTAGAATAGAACACTGAAAATTGGTAAAGAAAGTCTTGCGTTATTTGCAAGGAACGAAAGGCCTCATGATGACATATAGAAGATCTGATTCACTCCATATAGTGGGATATTCAGATTCTGATTATGCGGGAGATAATAGAAAATCCACGTCTGGATATGTGTTCACTCTCGCAGGGGGAACTATTTCATGGAAAAGCTCAAAGCAAACCGTCACTACATCGTCCACAATGTATGCCGAGTTTGTAGCGTGTTATGAGGCAACGGGGCAGGTGAACTGGCTAAAGAAGTTCATACCCGGTTTGAAGGTGGTTGACGACATCAATAGACCACTGAAGTTATACTGCGATAATAATCCAGCAGTACAGTATGCTCACAACAATAGGTCAAGTGGTGCTGCCAAACACATTGACATAAAGTATTATGTTGTGAAGGATAAAGTCTGGGATCAAATGATAAGTCTTGAGCATATAAGTACCGAAAAGATGCTCGCGGATCCGCTTACAAAAGGCTTACCACCCAACATGTTCAGAGAACATGTAGCCGGCATGGGTTTAAGGGAAAGCCTATGATTCCTGGACTATAAAGGGCCCAAAAGTTAAAGTAACTATTTCAGATCAGAGACGTGCATTGTAGCTGTTAAATCTATCGGCGATTGACCGTGACGATGAGACATGCTCTATGCATCATCTGTGAAGAAATGAGTAAGGATAAAAGGATTGAAGTTTAAAGTTTAAAGATAAAAGTAATGGTGAGATCAAGGGGGAGAATGTTAGATTGATCTCCTAACCAATAAGCCCAACGGCTTATTGGGCCTTGGTCACGTGCCCTGATCGGGGGCGCCCAACCCTACATGGTTGGTGGGCCCCCGTCGCACTGCGCTATATAAAGAGGTGGGAGCCGGCGGCTCAAAGCACGAGGTTCGCCGTGAGCCGCAAACCCCACCGACAAAACCCTAGACCGATCTAAGAGGGTGCGCAGCCAGCGACGGGAAGCTCCGCTGATCCTCGCCGTCGTCACTGCTACGCCCCGACCGCACTGCATCGATGTCCGCGCAACCTCTACTCCACCCGTCGCTGCCCGTGTGCTGCCTCCATCACCGAACCAGCGATGGCCAGCACAACTGCGACTTCATCTGAAGGCTCAGGTTCATCACCAGCCCCTCTCTACCCTAACTCCCTCTCGGTGTAGTGTTCTAGGTCTAAATGTGCATGTGCTTCACTGGTCTAAGTATTCATCCGTCTAGATCTACCCTAGTCGATCCACAGTTTTTAACAGTCATATCACGTTTGCTTAATATAAGGGCGTGACTTTCGATATGGTGGTCTATCAATGTTCAAACTTGAACTAAAATGGTTGATTTAAGGTTTTTATGATATATACTAGTGCTCCGTTGGATCCATAATTAATGCAATTCTAAGTTGGAACAAGTTAATTTTTTTTTAAGTTTCACCAAGTTCATAGAAAATAGTATTAACATTTACATCTCTATATAGTTTTCCTATAAAAATAAGTTAAAATTATAAGTTATAGTAATAAGTTGTGTCCCGTAAAATATTATGCATAAAGTTATGAGTATAACTTTGTAACTTTTTAAACATAGAAAATTGTGAAAATATTTTTTTTCCAGAAAGAAAGAAAAATAATGGGATTATTTGATCGTTCACTAGATTCTAATCTAGTGAATATTTGCTAATTAGTGTAGCCTTGTGTTGTGTAAGTAGACAATATACCAAGTTTCTTGCGATCCAGGCATACATATACATGGCCAAATGGGCGGCGTGGTTGGACACTGTAATGGGGCCGTCTCAATAATTGCATGGGCCCTTTTGCAAAAAAAAAACAATAAGGGCTTAGCAATCTAATTTTTAGGACTTGTTTGGTACGGCTCCGGCTTTAGCAGCAACTTCTGTGAATGAATTGAAAGTCGTACCAAACGTTTTAGGAAGAGGAGCTATTTTCTGATGAATAGTAAAAAAGTCGGAGCCAGTTTTCGGATTGGAGGAGGAGCTACGGTTTGTGGCTGAACAAACCCTATGTTGAGTAAACTATATATATATATATATATATATATATATATATATATATATATATATATATATATATATATATATATATATATATATTACTATTAATAAGAGTTAACTTACAAACTTGTTAAGTGTATGAGCCTTTAAATTTTCATTTCAATGGACCAAATACATGTACTAAATAAGTACTATATACATATATACTCATGGCCCCCTTATGACATGGCCTCCCGGCGGTCGCACCTATTGCCCACCCCCTAAGACGGCCCTGCTGATGAGGTACGACCTCACTATGTAATTGCGTTGAGCGTCTGCGTTGTTAGTAATCTCAAAAAAAAAATTAGTGAATAGACAAGTAATTAGCCTGTTCCTTTGCTACTGTATGTACTACGTAGTCTATCCGAAACTCCTCTCCGATGTCCGAACAGATGGACAGTGGCAGGCAGGAGCGGCACCACCACTTCGTGCTGGTGCACGGCCTGTGTCACGGCGCGTGGTGCTGGTACAAGGTTGCCGCCGCGCTGGAATCCGCCGGCCACCGCGTGACGGCGCTGGACCTGGTGGCGTCGGGCGCCCAGCCGGCACGCCGGCACGAGGTCCCCGCGGCCTCCGACGGTGACAGTCTGGTCCTCGTCGGCCACAGCTTCGGCGGCCACACAACCTCGCGCTCGCCATGGAGAGGTTCCCGCGCAAGGTCACCGTTGCCGTCTTTCGGTGTTTGATTTATGGAATCACCCCATGCTTCAGGAGGTGATACATCGTGAGTTCATTCCATAAATTTTGGTGGAATAAACAGATTTTTCGTGCATATACTAATTATTAGCTCGTGGGGAATGAGATGATGAACTCATTTCATTCCACAGACCAAATACAAAAAGTGAGGAGTGAGAAGATGATCGATCACGTCATTTCTTAAACAAACACACCCCATCTCCGAGCCATGCCGGTCTCGGTCGCCCGGCCCATGTCAACGGTCTCGGAACAGGTTCGTACAAGTGCCCAAACCTCATAGATGCAACGAATTATATATTGTGAACAATATATAAATAGAATCACCAAGAAATAATCGAAAGTACTTTGTTCTTTGATAATCCATGTATTTCAGCATCTGAAAAGCAGATTCTACGCCGGATTCCTTCCTGGCTGGACAGCACATTTGGAGTCGTGGAGAGAGGCTCGGAGAATCCAGCGTACATTCCTGCTTGGCCCTGAATGGATGTCACAGAGGATGTACCAGCTCAGCCCTGCAGAGGTAACACAAATTCACACAGCTAGATCTTGGCAAATCACTTGGTGTGACCGGCGAGTCGCAATGCAGGACCTGACGCTTGCCAAGACGCTGGTCAGGCCGGCGCAGATGTTCCTCATCGACGAGGCCATGGCAGGGGAGAGCGTTCTGACGGAGAGCAGGTACGGCACGGTTAGCCGCGTGTTTGTCATGGCCGAGGAAGACAGGACCTGGCCGGCGGAGGAACAGCGGGAGGCGGCGGCCTCCGTCGGCCCCGGCGTTGAGGTGAAGGCAATTGGCGGAGCTGATCACATGCCCATGTTCTCCAAGCCAGCGGAGCTCGCCCAACTCATCTTGGAAGTAGCTGACAAGTATTGTTGACAGAGGAAGCGTCCATTACTGCTCTAGTTGGGGAATTATTAGCGATCAACTCTTGTTCATGCTGCTACAAAAGCAAAAAAAAAAAAAAAAAAAATTTGCCATCATTTTGTCCTAGATAGACGCTCGTACTCGGGATTTGGATCTAAGTATTTTTTATGTGTGAATCTTGTGAATTAAATTTCAAAAGGAGTCCATTTTTGCTTTCTTTATCAGAAAAAAATGTCTAGCTTAATCTCCCCTTGATATGTGAACTGGTGTTCAATCATTGAGACATTGATGCTACGTATACCGGCTCACTAGAGGAAAGTCAGCTGGATATAGCTTGTCACTAGAGTACATCAAGCATGACGTTTTCCAGTGGCACATATAGAATTCTGTCAATAATATCTCCTGGTTACAAGACAAGGATGTTTCACCTCTTCCTTCTCCTATCGAAGTGTTTCTTGCGAGCAAGTGGTCCTGACCACACCAACTTCAGAGCAAAGACGACCATGGAGAGCGGCAAGAAGCAGCAGCACCACTTCGTGCTGGTGCATGGCGTCTGCCACGGCGCGTGGTGCTGGTACAAGGTGGCCACCCTCCTGTCATCGGCGGGTCACCGCGTGACGGCGCTGGACATGGCCGCGTGCGGCGCCAGCCCCGGGCGCGCCGAGGAGGTGCCGTCCTTCGAGGAGTACAGCCGGCCGCTCCTGGCCGCGGCGGCCGGCCTGGCGACCGAGGAGAAGGCGGTCCTCGTCGGCAACAGCTTCGGCAGCAAGAGCCTCGCGCTCGCCATGGAGTGGTACCGGGACAGGGTCGCCGTCGCCGTCTTCGTCGCGGCTGGCATGCCCGCCGCTGGGAAGCCGATGACGTCCGTCTTCGAGCAGGTAACGAAACGGAAATCCGAGACCGTGTGTTGTTCGATTGTTTCGTCAGAAAGGCCATGGCGTCAAATTTCACTCTAACAATCATGTTTTCCTGACGAACTCTAGCTTTCGCAAGAAGAGCAGCCAGCGGATCGCTGCATGGACTGCGAATTCGTAACCAGAGGCGACCCCCAGCATCCCGTGGAGACATTTCGGTTCGGGCCACAGTACCTGAAGCACAGGTTGTACCAGCTCAGCCCCCCAGAGGTAGGAGACAATGGCCACTAGTTCCTCAGCCACACACACGACACATCCTGCAGATGGTCTGGTCACCATCGTGCTGCTTCCTCTGGTGGCGCAATGCAGGACCTGACCCTGGCAATGGCGACACTGAGGCCGTCACGGCGGTTCCTAGACGATGCGACTATGAACGGGGACGTCCTGACGGCGGAGCGGTACGGCGCCGTGAGACGGGTGTGCGTCGTCGCCGAGGATGACGCGTCGTCGTTGCCGGCAGGCTTCCAGCGGCGGATGGCGTCGCTGAACCCCGGCACGGAGGTGAGGGGGTTGCAGGAAGCTGATCATATGGCAATGCTCTCAAAGCCAAGGGAGCTGTCAGAACTCTTAGATTGATCTCTAATCCTAACCGGACCCAACGGCCCAGTTAGGCCTTTGATTCGCGCCCTGATCGGGGACGTCCAGCCCACCATGGTTGAAGGGCCCCTGTCACCATGCGCTATAAAAAGATGTGGGGGCCGGCAGCTCTTATCACGAGGTTCGCCTGAGCCGAGTTCCCCACCGACAAACCCTAAACCCGATCTAAATGAGGGCCGCAGCCAGTGACGGGAAGTACCTCCACCACTGCACTGCGCCGCCGTCGATCTTCACCGCCGACACCGCATCTCCGACCCGTCTTCCCCGACCGTCACTGCCCGTGCGCAGACTTCACCAACGAACCTGATGGCGGCCTCTGGATCATCCCTGTCCGTGGTGTAAGGTTCGTCAGCCCTCATCCACCTCTCTCTGTTTCTCTCTCGTTGCATTAGAACGTGTTCTAGGTCTTTGATTCATCAAGCACCCCGGCTAGATCTACTCCTAGTGATCCTATAAGTCTAACAATGGTACCAGAGCCATCGGTTTCTAGGGTTTTAGATCTAGAACGGGTAAACCAATTAGAAAAGGAAGTAGAAGGTTAGATCCAGTGCGGAACAGAGGGTTCGGTTGAACCCTAACCCTAACTGGGTTAAGGAAATGAGAAAAGAAGAGGGTTTATCCTAACCCAAACCCTAACTGGGTAAAAGAAAGACAAGGAGGGCTCAGCACGCGATGCCGAACCCTAAAACCGTAGAGTCCCTCTAGGGAAGATAAACAGTTCCCATCCCGAAACCCTAACCCTAACACAGTTAACCCTAATTCCCATCCCAATCGGTCAAAACCGAGAAGAGCAAACAAGAACCAAAGAAGGGGAAAAGGGAGACCCAGAGGGATTACCTTGCCGTCGTGCAGAACAGCCCGCGGGGAGAAGAAAGCCGAGCCCGGGGGGAGCTGCTCGCCGGACTCAGGCCACAGGGGCGCCGCGGCCAGGCCGCTCGACGGCGGCGCGCTCACCCGCTGGGGAGCGCGCACGTCGGCGAGGGGGCCGGCGACGGCGCCGGGGCTCTCTGCTTGCTCTCGTTGTCGTTGCTCGTCGCTCGGGCTCGCTCGGCTAAGAGAGGGAAGGGAGAGGAGAAGGCCGAATGGCCGTTAGGGTTTCGGCCGACGCGACCATGGGCGGTTTTGTTCGCCCGAAGACGCCGCACAGCAATTCGATGGATCCAACGGCGCCAGATGCACCGGCCGCATCGCGGCCCAGGCGGGCGCGCGGGCGCGCGGAGCTTTGCCGGCCCAGGCCCACGTTGCGGCCTAGGTGCGGCCTGCGCGCGCGTGAAAAGGTGGGCCAAGCCAGCTTTTGCCGGTTTTTGGGCCAAGAAAGTCACAATGAGCCCGCGAGCCGATTTTTGTTTTTTATTTTTCTAGAAAAATTGAAAAAATGGAAATTGGCTTAAAAGAAAATAGAAAAAGTATTTTTTCCCTGTGGGTAAAATTCGAGAAAATGATATCATTTTTTCGCTGTGTATTTAAAGTTGTTATTTTCATTATTAAATTCAAATCAACGGGAGAATTTAATTTTGAAAAAAGGATATGTTTTAGTTTATTATAATATTATTATTATTCTGACCAACGTTGATTAATGGCAATATTATAATGATTTTGTCATGCATTAATTCTATTTCTGCCTAACGGTGATGTAGAATTAGTGTAGAGGACAATTGTATGTTTTAATTTTGACCAATGTTAGAACTAAGGCATGCAATTGTTATTGTTATTATTTATGTTCTCACTCTATATGAATTGTGTTTTCAGGCAGATACAACTTAATGGGTTGTATCAAAGAGATCCCCACTCTCAAAGGTGATAACTACGGAATAGAATAGAAAAAAAAATAGATCTGGCCTTCATTTTGACCGAGGTGGACTGGGTAGTCACCTCACCGTGTCCCACTGAGCCTCACTACTAGGGAAGTGCTCATCAATGATGCTCCCCTTTCGTCACGGAAGACTCCAAAATCGTCGCCAAAGTTCTTCTATGACGAACTTGTGACGAAAACAGATTCGTCATGGAATGAGCGTCATTGATCAACAACTGTGACGAAATGCCTTGTTTCGTCACTGAATGGATATCATTCAATGACGAAGAGTTTTCGTCACTGATGTACCTAGGTTTTCATCATAACATGCTGCTCCGTCAGGTTACCAAACGGCGCTTGCCACGGGCAAATGACGTGTCTTTGCGCGCGTGGCACGTCCACGTGGCGGTGGCGTGGCCGTGACGTGGTAGGTGACGATGTGTCGAAGGACGTGGTGGGTCCACATGGTGCTTTTTGGGCCACATGGCACGCTATGATTAGTCCACGTGGCTTCCTCGTGAGTGGTTTACATTTTCATCACGTAACCCGAATCTTCGTCACAGATTAAAATTACGATAAGGTGACGAGAAAACAAAATTTTTGTCACCGATCACATTGCAATAACATCACGAAACCCGAATTTTCATCATAGATGCACATGCTACTTTTTTTTACAAAATGCAAATAATATTAAAATGACCAAATGCTTCCATAACTTAATAGATCCAAAGAATCCAAATCACCATACAACCGACTCAACACTAATAAACTCAGTTCATATATAACTAACTTGACATCACATTCCGTGTTCTAGATTGATCTCGGTTCACATTATCACAACTAATAATATAAAGTTGCCAAGCACCAAAGCAACATAGGTTTTAGACTAAACAAAATCAGCCAACAACACGGACCCCTTGCCAAGCACCGGTAAGAACAACACACAGAGCCCTTGGTAGCACAGCACCAATGTAACAGCGGTTCACGTCGAAGAATTCAGGGACAAGATATGCTTGAGCAACGCATTGTTCTCCTCCATTGCCTTTTGGTTTGCCTCTGCCAGACTTCTTCATATCCTCCATCTCCCTTTGTGTCCTCTCCATCTTTTCCTCGGCTTCTTGAGTTCTCTTCTTGAGCTCATCGATTTCATCTTGTACAGTAGCCTTAGCTTCACCGCTAGTTGTTCCTGAAGCTCTTCTTTTGATGTTCTTTGAGTTGGAGGATGCCACCGGTTTGATGCCAACATTCTTGAAAAACTGTTTGAGCTATTCTTGGAGAGCGTCTGTGACACAACCTCGCACTGCTCGGATACTACTGTCTCTCCTTCAAAGAATAGTGCTGCCCTCAAAGCTTCCATGTTGGACTGAAACAACAATGAGCCATCATTAGTTCATACTTATTGAATTAAAGTGAGGTGCAAATATCACACAAGATGTATTTTATTTGCAGATTGTTATCAGCTTGTTATCAACAAAATGGAATCTTATTTGCAGTCAAGTAAGGTAAATTAAAATGTTCAGTTCATATTTGGGGTCAGCATTTGAGGTGAGCAGGCAGGCAGAGTAGAAAGATAGATATGCACAGTGATAATTGCATATTTAGTTCATGTTTCAGGTCAGCATTAAACAGTGATAATTGCATATTCAGTTCATGTTTCAGGTCAGCATTAAACGGATGACAACATAATATGCACAGTGATACTTGCATATTGTAGAAAGACTGAACCAAGATGGCAGAGTAGAAAGATAGATACATATAATGAAGGAACAACTTAATTAGATATAGCAATGTACAGAAGAAACAATTTATACTTTAATGAGCAATGGTTGAGGCAAAGAGACAGAAATTTCATGTTCTTAGTATTTTTTCTCTCATTTAGTGAACATCAGCACTTGAGCAAAATTACAGGGGACTTAATGGTTCACATATCAACCTCCCAAATAACAGATTTTCATTTATTATTGATCTTCTCAACCATAGTAAATAAGAGAAGGCAGATAAATTTCACAGCAGTCTATATAATTGAGAGAAAGAATCCTGAATCAATCACAAATCATTTTAATGTATCCATGTCAGACTTTCAGGACAGCATAGCAAAAGTGTAGAACACATACGCCAAACAAGATGCATTTTAATAATGGACATGCTATCCAATTAATGGACAAAATGGCGCACCGAAACAGATGTCAGGACTTACCAATGCTTCTCTTGCTGGTTCACTTAGACCATGTTTGGAGCTGGTATGGCATGTCTCGAAGGCCTCCACCACATCAAGTTCTTCATCTTGCGCTGTGCTGGGCTCTGCATTGTTCCTCCTATGCTTCTGTTTCATAGAGATTCAATTACAGCAAAGTTTTGTCAGTCTTATGATACAAAGTCAGTGCTATGTTGAGAATCAGTTACTTACATATGCATGCAAGTGTGCCACATAGCTGCGAGAGCCGGTAGTCTGATGATACTTGACTTTACCGCGATTAGTCTTGTTCTTTTCACTTGTTTCCTAAAGGAGAATGACATGTGAGATGAGATCATAGGTTAAAAATGATAAGATCCACTGGAAACTGACTGAGAAAGAATATACCCATACCATGTTCTTTGGATCAGACCACTTTGCAACTAGTTCCCTCCACTGTTCATCAGTCATGCATTCAACTGGAGAAGTTGTCCTAATCTCATTTGCACTTACACCATTGAAGTATTTCTTCTTGAGCCGATAACGCCTTTGTCGCACCCCAGAGCGCAGCATATCGGTGCAAGCATCCTCTATTGGCTTGTCGTTAGTGTTAATGGCCAAGCGCCCCTAGTCATTTGACAATTCCATATTTAGTTAGTCAATTCAGGTTAAGCAGATATACAAGTTTACCATAAAAATAGTAATGCACTTACAGAGAGCTTTCCCACAAAATTTTTGTAATGTTCATCGTCGTTCTTATATAATTTCCAATGAGGTAGGACATGAACCTTATCCCGAATGATGACACCAGCCTCAGATGCAAACTTGGCTGCTTGAACAGGTTCATGAGGCCTTCTTTTTTCCTTCAGCAACGGCTATGGGCATTCTCCTTCCCATAGCTTTTGTCATCCTGTCTAGCTGTGTTCCCTTGGTGGGTGGCCTGGGTCTCCTTGGGGCTCTCTGTGCAGGAGCTACAACATATAATTTGCATTTAAATGCTTTAGTTTCATTGAAATCAGCAAAAAAGATGACCTATTTCAATGACAAAGAAAAAATAACTTGCCTTCAGTGCCTTCCTCTCCAGCTACATTGTCTTCAGCAAGTGTCATGTCTTGAAAACCAGCTCCACCGTCTTCCTCTCTGCAACTGTGTAATGTCCTCGACCACCAGCTCCACTTTGTCTTCCTGTGCACCTCAGTAGAAGACCTTTGTGGTATTTCATCATGACCATCTGTATGATCATCTTCAATCTGCCCATCTCTCGCTGAAAGTTGAAGCCTTTTTGATGATCTTAATAGGGCCCTAGGGGGTTGCACCTGTGAACCTTCCGGTGCCCTCACTCTCTTACTAACCCTAACTCCCGGCGCCATGTTGGGACCTGTCTTCTTCTTCTTTGAAGCGAGGACTTTCTGTCTAGGCCCTGAAGGAGACTGTGGAAAAAAATAAAGTAAGTCATGTGCATTAATAATCAAGAGCATATATTAAAGAACAGGTATGAAAGAAAGAATATGTATCTAAAAAGCAAGGGCATACATTAAAGAACAGATTAAAAACATTCAAATGCGATGCAAATATTCCCCATCTAGTAATTTGAAGATAGAAGAAGCACCTTAGTGGGTTGTGGCTGCGCATCAGATTCAGTTTCATCATCATCACTATCTCCTTGATCATCATTTTCAAGGAGATACTCCGATGTATCCGAATCTTCACTACTTGTTTTCTTGTTTGCTGAGGTTTTCCCCTTCTTTGTAGCAGATTGAGGTAAAGAATTACTAAGTTCACTAGATATTGTTAGGATTCCGAGCGCTTCAAACACCTTCTCATTCGCCACCACTTGTTCATCCCGCCTTCTCTCATATTCAGTTTTTTGAGGTTCTTAAAAGAACAAGCAGATTGTGTCTATTAGAGAATAAAAAGGAGTAGTAATAATAGATGCTAGATAGAGAAGAGGTAGGAGCTAGTAGTGCTTGCGGAAGAGCTAAGGGATAAGAGGTGGTAGGTTCTAGGCAACAAGTAAAAGGTAACAGCTAAGAGCTGATAAATGATAATGATCAGGAACTGAAATATGAAACATTCAGTATAGGCATATGGCTAGAAAAAATTCAGAGCTACCAAAGTGAACTGAAACATTCAGTATGTACACAAATTGGCTCAATGTGTTGATGTGCTTAATTCAAATTCATGGCTAATATTTACGAGACAAAGACACTAACCAACAAGAAATAAGTTTGTTCTAATCTACTAAATGATTCAAATGGGCATAGATCATAATATCTTTTATTTTCTCTCAAATATTAAACAAGTATGCCTGCACATTGCCTCTCTAACTACTGATTCTATCATTCTGCATTCGGGTATGCCTGCACAAGTATACCTATCGAGAACTCTGCAACAAGTATGCCTACACAAGTATAGTTGGGCAACCAAAGATGCAATTATATATTTTTAGTGATAGCTAAGAATTTGATTTCCTAAAACATAAATGCCAAGATAAATCTGAAATAAGCTTAATAAGTCTAGTGCTAAGGCCACCCTATGCAGCTACATATGACTAAATGAGTTCCCACAATTGTTGTAGTATAATGCAAAGAACAGTCCATAAATAAAGAAGGATAATCAAATGTGTTGATTTATCAACCTGAACTTGCTAATAGACAAATGATTCATGAGCAAATATCAATAGCGAGCTTAGATCCTATTATTCAAAGAAATACTTGGAGAAAACGTTTCTTTATAGACTTCATACCGGTTGGCGATTAGTAGTTAACTGCTCAGAATCGGTTAAAACTATTGCATTCTCTAATAAATTAGAGCTATGCAAGGATAAAGATATGCAGGTGAGAAGGAAGGTAGTCCATCACAAATTAGAGCTATGTAAGCCTAGCTTTTGTCTCCATTGAACTGGTTGGTGTAAATTTCTTATGGAACAACAACAATATGTCCTACCTCGAGCTCAACTTCTAGCAGCACAAACACACAACTACACAAGCATGTCGGCTAATTTTATAAGCATGTCAATGAAGTCTAGAATCTAACATGGGATTACTTCCAATAACATGTAGCTGACATTGGTATTTTGACAGTAAGCACATCTTTAATTACTTGCGATATAGCCTAGCAGGCAGCACATCATTCAACAAACATTCTACAATAATAAAGCAGTAACAGACATCGAACAATCATTCATAAAAAGTTGAAGAACGCAGACTAGTAATTGCACAGAGGACTCGCTTACCTTGTTCTTGTTCTGTAGGTCTCTTCCTACCTTGACCCCTTGTTGCTACCATTGCCACCAGGTGCTCGTCGGCGGTGGTCGTCAAAGGGGAACAAGACCCGGTGCGGTGAACCCAAGTCGACGGGGAAGCAGATCCAGTGCGGCGATGACACACAATTCGGCGGTGGTTAGGGTTAGGTTGGGCCGAGAAAGAGGTGGAAGGGGCGAGATAGGTCCATGGGGCGATGAGAGAGAGGGGGATGTCGGGGACGACGGAACTCGTGGGGGACCAAGCTGCTCGGTGGCGGCGGTTGTGTTCCGGCGGTCCGGCTAGGGTTTGGAGAAATAGGGAGGAAGAGAGGACGAGTGGCCGAGGGGTGAGGTGACGAGGGAGAGGGGGATGTCGGTGATGACGCAACTCGTGGGCGACGAGGCAGCTCGGCGGCGGCGGCGGCTGTGTTCCGGCGGTGCGGCTAGGGATTGGAGAAATGGGTGGGTGGGGGAGGGGTGGGGGATGAGGGGGGGAAAGAGGACGAATGGCGAAGGGGTGATGAGGGAGTGGGGAAATGGCGGCTTTTTGGCGGCTTTTTTTTGGGTATGACGCGGGGGAATCCCTTTTGGCGCATCCGAGGGTAGGCAATTTTATTTTGGTTTTTCCAACTTTTTTGTGTTTATTATTATTTTATTTTTCTATGTACATTTTGTTGCCAGAGTTTCAGTTATTATATTATTGCTTAATGATCATGACATAAAAGTTTCAAATGTGTTTTGGCAAAGTGGTACTATACATCATGTACAAGCATGAACAACTCTCACTTAGTTATTAGGTTATATGTTAGACATGTATGCCTTTGCGAGGATGTGCATGACCACTTTCTCAAAATTAGTTGAAACTTTTTTGCCAACATCATACACCAAAGTGGGGTGTCTATGCAAGTTTTTTGAATTTTTTAGCTATCTTAGCATATTTTAACAATTATGCTTCACTAATCCAACAAAAAATTACAATAATAGGAAAACTTGGTCAGAAAATTGCACAGATGCACAAAACATCATAGTTTGGCTCCATAAACATCCCATAAAAATTTCAAATGATTTCGACAAGGTGGTAGTATACATCTTGTACAAGCATGAACAACTCTCACTTAGCGACAAGGCCATATGTGAGACATGTATCCCCTTGTGAGGATGTTCATGACCACTTTCTCAGAACTAGTTGAAACTTTTTTTTCATTATTGTACACC